ATAAGTTCAGCCATGAATATTCAAAGAAGGAAAAAATGTGTCAGTAAAGCACATGTTCAAGGCAAGTCAAAGAAAATATGTATATATATATATATATATATATATAAAATAAGTAAAGAAAAAGAAAAAGACAAAAAAAAAAAAAGAAGAAAAAAGAGAGAAGAACTGCAGCCTCACCTCTCAGCCAAAAGGCGTGTTATTGCCCTCAATGAGAAGCTGAGTTCGAGCTTGATGGCAGCAGCAGAGCATCCCAGCTCGGCAACAGCACAACAACCCAGCTCAGCAGCAAAGCTCAAAATAATGCTCCAGCTCGGCAGAAGCGAGGCAGTTCAGCTCGGCAGCAGTAGAGCAACCCAGCTCGGCAGCGGTAAAGTTCAAAGCAATGCTCCAGCTCGGCAGCAGCAGAGTAGCCTAGCTCGGTAGCAGCAAAGCGGCCAAGCACAGCAGCAACAAAGCAGTTCAGCTCGGCAACAGAACAACAGCCAAGCACGGCAGCAACAAAGCGGCCCAGCTCGCTGCACCAAAACAGTCCAGCTCGGCAGTGGCAAACCTCAACAGTACTCCGGCTCAACAGAAGCAAGGCAGCCCAGCTCGGCAGCAGCCAAGTAACCCAGCTCGACAGCCGCAAAGCAGTCTCTCAGCTCAACGGCATGCACCGAGCAAATTTGTAATGAAGCTCGTTGAAGAAGACGCGAGCAATCAACATAATAGGATGATGGTTAGCCCATACTTGCAACAAATTGACAACACTCTGTGAAATCACTGGGAAGACGCGAGTTCCAACCACAAGCACCTTCCTTGGGCAGTAAACCATTTGAGTTTGGTTACCACTTTGTGATTATTAGGGAGATAATCTTAATCTTTTATTATTTCACTATATTTCTTATATATTGTTTTATTTTCTTTTGCGGTAAAGCAAGGTGGATTCTCCCTCTATTTTGAATTTGTTTTTGCAGAATCCAAGGGATAAGTCTTGACTAGGCAGTTTGCCAGTAACAAATTAGATCCCTCCAATCAGCTGTTAGGGAGCAAAAGACTATGGTTCCAATGATAGAAAATGCTGATGGTAGTGTCGGAGATGGAAGCTCTGGAGGTACTGGACACCACCCTTCAAGATGACAGTTAAACCACTACCGGGAACACACATGCTGCTCTAAGAAGCCAGTAGTCGCATCTCATGCTTAGTTGAGAGCAGAGGCATTCAACCGCCCACGTAGCATCACCGAACCATTTTGTAAGGACAGGTCCGAGGTACCAAGACTCGGACTGCTACAGTAACTCCTCTTTGGCCGAAGTGCAGAA